CCCCCACCAATAGGGCAGATTTACGAACATATTAAAAGTAAAACAGATAACTTACGATAACCACGGGTCCAAAATGAACAGGGCTTTGAGAAATTAGCTAAAACAGATCATTTTCCAGTAGCTTTTATTTTTAATAAGAAGGTTTATTTATTTAGGAATGGCTCAAGTGTAGGCCAAAGCACAGTAACAGTTTTTGTAGTTTCTGAGGTGGGCCTCCTGGCTATTGCTGTCTAGATTTGCTCTTAACTGTCTTTTGTTTTTCATCTTTAAACCTCTCAAAGGGTCATAGTATATATCCTTATGAGATCAGGGACAATTGTAACTTGAAATTATATGAAGTATTAATTTGATTTATTCATTAAGGCCCCACTGATACCTCTTATGCTTGGCTATGGAGTATGAATGTAATAAAGATAGTGCTTTACACACAGTATGTGATGTATAGATATCCTGCTTTCAAGAAACCCACTATCTGAAAAGGAGATACCACCTATGAATAATTACAATATATAATAGTGGTATGTACAAGTTACTTTAAAGCATCACTTTAGTCAATGCCCCTGACTAAATAGTCAGGTATAGTATGTTTTAAAAATTCTTGTGGCACACTGGCTGAAAATTGCTGGTTTACAGTATAAAAGATTACACAAGAAGGCGGAGTGTCACTCTGTTCATCTGTCAGAAGAAATCATTAAAGTGTTATAAGTATAAGATTATAAGTATGATTTGGAGTTTTAAGAAGGAATTACTTTCTGGAGATGGTGATCTAGGTAAACCCAGTATGTACAGGGTAAGGAACTGTGGGATACCATGGCTTGTTCTGAGAAATGGAAGTGCTTTCATATGGCTATAGCAGAGGCTCTCAACGTATTTCTTATCCAGCATATCTGAGGGTAGGTGGAATGTACTTGTAATAGTAACAGTCATCAGCTCTGGCAGTCATTGTCAATGAAAGGCCATGCCCTTATGGGAGAATAAACCTGAATCTCTCCACAAAGGCACATTTTATTTCAGTAAAGTCCCCAAACTAGACTTTTTATTTTGTTCTCCACTGGTAGAGCTTTCAGTGTGAGGTGTAATGAGAGGTGTAGCATAATTGAAAGACAAACCAGATTACAAAGTACTTGGTACAAAATTAAGCAGTTGAGATTCTCTTATAAGATATGTGGAGCTGCTGAAAGACTTTTGACCGAGAAAATACATGATCAGATTTCAAGTTTAGAAAGTTCACATCCATCTTCTTCAGACTTGAAGAATTAATTAGAGAAGGTCAGGTCTACAGGCAGTAAGTTTAAGTAGGCTTTTGTAGTAGTCCAGGTTAAACATGCTTCATCCCTCGTGTAACAGCAATGGAAGCAAAGAAGACAGGGTCAGAGCTATTTGGGCAGAATAAACATGGTGTCTGGATATAAGGAAGAAGGCAGAGTCAGTAATGATTCTTAGATTGGTTATGTGGACTGACTAGTGAATGGTGGTGCCCTCCCCAACAGTGGTAGTTCACGACGGGAAGCAAACCTAGAGACATGGAGGATTAATTCAATTTGGCGGTAAACAGGCATCTCTAGAATTCTGGTTATTGAATTCTGTGACAAAATTATTACCAGTACATCTTATAGCCAGAATTGTTCTTTTGAAAGCTAAGTCAGAGATCTTTACATTCCTGTTCAAAACCCTTGAAGGACTTCCTAGCATGCTTAGAATAAAATCCAGAGTCCTGGCTGTGACTCTGGAAGTTCATATGTGATTTACTCCTCGCTGCCTTCTGATCTTTTCTTCTAAAACTTTTCATTCTCTCTCCTTACACTCTAGCTATATTGGCTTCTTTGGATATCTTGAACATATCAAGCATGCTTTTACCTTAGGGCCTTTGTATTTACTGTGTCTCTGTCTAGATTATCTCTTTTCCCAAGAAGTTTCATGGCTTTTTCTCTCTCCCTTCATTACAGTCTCTGCTCAGATGCTACCTCTTTAGCAAGCTCTATACAACTATCCTATGCAAAACAGCAACCCCCACCTCTCCTTATCCCTGTCACTGCATTACCTCTACCTGAGGTTATAATTTACACAATCATTTTTTTTATCTGTTATCAACAGAATGTAAATTTCATGTCTCTAAGTAGCACCCATTGGTTTTCAGAATAATTGCAGAGGTCTTGATAAGGCATATTGAAGAGATGTTTCCCATTCATATAGTCAGATGACAGACCAAGCTATTTATTAAAATTTGAGGTTCTTTCTAGCCTCTATCACATTTTTAAAATATGCTCCCAAGTCTTCTCATACTTCTTTCTCATTTGAAAATACCTGACCATCCATCCAGGCTTCCTTCTCCCTAATCTTCGCATATTTCAATCCTATCTATATTAATAGCCCATAAAACTTCTTTCTGGATTCCGCCAGCTAAAATCGACCCTATCTGCCCCAGCCGGCTCATTTGGTTGGAGCGTCGTCCAGTACACTAAAAAAAATTGCGGGTTCAATTCCCGGTCATGGCACTTACCTAGGTTTCAGTTTTGATTCTCCCACCTGGGGAGTGTATGGGAGACAACCGATTGGTGTTTCTCGCTTTCTCTCAAATCAATAAATATGTCCTCAGGTGAGGATGAAAAAGAAAAAAAAAATTTATCGTATCTTCCTTTGAATTTTTCTTTTGCTACTTTTAACATTCTGATACATATAATAGTTATCTATATCTATTCAGTCAAACTATAACTTTTATAGGGTAGCATCTCAACTGATTAATCTGATGAATTTCTGGATGTGACCACATTTAATACACGTAAAGTAAACCATAAATATGTGATGGCAAAATAAAGATAGTATTGGTTTATTTATTTATTTTTGAAAGCTGTGTGTGATGTAGTTTATGGCTTGCAAAACAGAAATAGTTTTTTGCCCAGCCGGGCGTGGCTCAGAGGTTGAGGGTCGAGCTAGGATCCAGGCGATCGGGGTTTGATTCCTGGTCAGGGCACATGCCCAGGTTGTGGGCTCGATCAATGGCTCTCTCATCATTGATATTTCTGTCTCTCTCTCCCCATCCTTTCCTCTCTCTGAAATCAATAAAGAGATATTTTTTTAAAAAATAGTTTTTTATAAATTGAAAAATATTGTATTTGAAGATATGAAATTTATCTTTTTATTTATAATTGTAAAATAATGCACATTGAAAATATAACTGCCAAGCATCGTAAAGTGCTAATTAAAATTAAGTAACTATTAGGTTGAAACATATGAAATTACTTTTCAAAATCAGTCAGATATTCGCATTTTCATATGGTTCAACCTAACTTATGTAAAAATCTTCCCAAAATCTTAGTGTAAAAGCCAGTAAGCCAGTATTTCTCTAATACATAAACAAGTTCATGTACTTTGGACCAACCTAATCTCTTACCTTGAACATATTAGGTGCTCAATAAAAAATAAAGTGAATGCCTGAAAGCATAAAGCTGACAATAAAAATTCATTGAATGCCTGAAAGCATAAGACCTGACGTGTAGTAACTGTAAATTGCTTGTGACAGGTAATACCCAATGTCAGTTTTAAATGCTTTCATCATACTTCGACATCTGTGCAGATCTTCAGAAATCTGTGTGGGAAAATTCAGTTACTTTTAAAATGAAATACAAATGCTCTTCCTTGCATGTTGAATTGAAATAGTTAAGAAAGTAGTATTTCCAAAAAAGTAAGTGACAGGACTGTTATCTTCTCACAAAGTGATAAAATAATAATAGATTAGTTAAAAAGTACTTTTACATCAGAACTTGATTAAAATAAAATAACCATGCTTTTTTATTGCTCTAAAAGAGAACATTTTCACACTAGTCATGTGGTAGGCAATATAATTTTAGTTTATCTAATGCATACAAAAGCTATATATTTTAGAATGGTATTTCCATTTACATAATTTCTTCAAGAAACCTGAAGCTTGTAAAAGATAGGTAACTAACCCAAATTTACGAATATAGTAAGATCTGGGCCTAAGTCTATCTGATTGCAAAACATATTTGTCCCAATAAATTAGGAGCTTTGGGATACTAAGTTTTTCTCTTACTCTAATCTGATCTCAAAGAAAAGTTATTTCAAATCTTCAGTTTGTCTGATGTTCCTAATACTGGATAGGAGGAGGAATTAAAGTAAGAGAAAGGTATTTTCATTTTAAATTTGGAAGGTGAGTAGGTGTATTAATAAAAGCATATATAAGCCATAGACAAACACCAAAGTCAAGATAGTATCCTTACTGGAAAGCATAACTAACAAATATTCTGTGTGCGTGTATACTTCTTCATGGTAGAAATTAATATTTAAGGGACTTAGTAAACTATTTCAGTGTATTTCCTTGGTGTGAAATCTAAATATTAATAAAGAAAATCCAACTAGAAGTTTTTTCTTAAATGACTGACCTTGGGAGCAGGAAAGAAATAGAAGGAAAATTTATAAATTTGCTAATTGCTTTTTCCTCCACTGTGTACCAACCTAGTTTGGTGTCTAACATAATATACTTCAGCTTACTTTCTTTTTTTCTTCGTGTAATAGCAATGTTGTCTCTCCCACCACCTATATCTTCATCCTGCCTTTTATAGTATACGGTGTGTATGTCATAGTATATTGTGCATGTGTTTGATTTATTGAAATGATGCTGTATCTGATGCTTGTCTCTTAGCTTCCAGTCTTGAGTCTCCTGGACAATATAGGTTGATTGTATGCTATTTTATTTCCAAAGTAATACTAACTCCCTTATTGATAAAAGTAGAGATGCTTAGATAATATACAAAAATTGGCCTTTCCTGTGAAATAAGTGCCTCCTAACTTATGCTCAGATATATTTACCATTTCTGTTTTATGTAAATTGTAGCCTACTAGACTTTTGACAGCTAATGTAACTGTCTAAACAGGAGGTAGCATTAACTTCTATCACTTGTTTCATATGAAACTTCTGAAAAAAATTTCCTGTATTAGTTTTCTGTGGCTGCTGTAACAACTTACTACAGATTTAATGGCTTAAAACAACACAAATATTTTATGTTACAACTTTGAAATTGAGAATTCTGAAGTGGATCTCACTGGGCTGAAATCAAGGTAGTGACAGAGATGTGTTCTCTTCTGGAAGATAGGGGAGAATTTTCTTGTTCTTTCCAGCTTCTAGAGGCTGCCCACATTCACATTCCTTGGTTCATGCCCTTCTTCCTCTGGCTTTGAAGCCAACAATAGCGGGTTCAGTTCTTCTCACCTACCTCCTCATCTGCCTTCTTCTTCCACACTTAAGAACCGTTTTCATTACATTGGGCCCATCTGGACAATCCATGATAATCTCTTTATTTTGAGATTGGGTGATTAACAACCTAATTCTATCTGCTATCTTAATTCCCCTTTTGCCATCTAAGGTAAGATATTTATAAGGTCCCAGGATATGGACACCTATCGGTGGGTTATTATTTTGCCTACAACACTGCTTAAAATGGTAAGCTTTTTGTGATTCTCTGTCAGTAATATTCAGTGTTAGAACTAAACTGAGCTACAACACAATAATGCTATTTTACTTTCAGTACCTTTCTTGAAGTCTTTAGAGATGACTAGCTTATTCACTATAATTTCCGCCCTAGCTGTACAGAGAAGGTCTCATTTTTTGACATTGGAGAATTTCTAGGGACCTTTCTCATTGTCCCCAGTGGTGACAAATGCTGTTTCCTATTTATCAGAATTTAAAGGAACACAAATACTACCTATGATTAGCTATTTTTAAAATGTGCCAACATATGTGAAGTTCCATTTAAATTTAATGTAATGGGAGAGGAAGAAAGTTTTAGAAAATTTCAGGCTTAGTCTCTGAGACAGTCCACAAACCGCACTTCTGAGTATGAGAGTTACTGAACACGGTATATGAAAATTCTCTGTATTTTGTGTAAAGCAAAGAAAGAAAATTACAAATGTGAATTTGGATTTTTTAAAAACAGTACTAGACTTGCTTTCTCTCAAATTGTCTTGACTAATGGAGTTGTTTTTCTCTTTTATCACCATATCTGCCTGATGGCTTTTTAAATAAATGTATCAACAAGTACATATATTATAGTGCTGACAGTGTTCTTCTCACTCTTCTTTTTCACTTTCTGATATCATTTGATCTTATTTAGAATCTGTGAAAATGTTTGTCTCTATCTGCTTACCTTTTCAAACTTATTTTTAATAGGATCGGAAACTCCATGGCACAGCTCAGCAACTACTCCAGGACAGCAAGACAAAAATAGAAGTGATACGAATGCAGATTCTTCAGGCAGTCCAGACCAATGAATTGGCATTTGATAATGGTGATGGAATAGAGATAAATTGTCATTTTTCTTATTATGGGCAATATGATGCTAAATAATTTTATGTAAGACAGACATGGTGGTTTAAAATTGAGGAGGAGGTGGCATTATTTTTTTCATCTTAAGTTTTTAATCTTGAGTTTTGATCTAAAAAAGGCTCTCTATCTCAACATTGTATCTATTAATCAGTGTTTTAAGTACTGTTCTTTTAATGTAAGAATTCATTTTTTATTGATAAGTTTTAATGACTACATATTAGAAAGTGAAGTAAATGGTTCAATTAAGTTTTTTTTGTCTCCTCTAGCAAAACCTGTCATAAGTCCTCTTGAACTTCGGATGGAAGAATTAAGGCACCATTTTAGGATAGAGTTTGCAGTAGCAGAAGGTGCAAAGAATGTAATGAAATTACTTGGCTCAGGAAAAGTAACAGACAGAAAAGCACTTTCAGAAGTAATTTTAAATAAATTTTAACTTAATAAATATATTACTCAAAGAATGTAGTTATATAAGTGAAAACAATTGTCTTTTCCCTGTCCAAGGCTCAAGCAAGATTTAATGAATCAAGTCAGAAGTTGGACCTTTTAAAGTATTCATTAGAGCAAAGATTAAATGAACTTCCCAAGAATCATCCCAAAAGCAGTATCATTATTGAAGAGCTTTCACTTGTTGCCTCACCAACACTAAGTCCACGTCAAAGTATGATATCTACACAAAATCAATATAGCACACTATCCAAACCAGCAGCACTAACAGGTATGTAGCATATATCTTCTGATAATTTTACTACATCTGGTCCTGATTTAATAAATGAATAAAAAACTGCACAGATTTTTTTAAATATTGTGGTAAGATACACATAACATAAATTATTTTAACCGTTTAAAAATATACAATTCAGAGGTGTTTAGTATATTTCAAATGTTGTGTAACTATCACCACTATCTAGTTACAGAGCATTTTCATAACCCCAGAAGGAAACCACATACACATTAGGTTGTCACTTCCCATTGTGTTTTCCCTCTCAGCTCCTGGCAACCGCTGTTGGATTTTGTTTCCGTAGATTTGTCTATTCTGGATATGTCCTTTAAACAAAGTTGTATCAGTTGTGGCCTTCTCTCTGGCTTCTTTCATTTAGTGTACTGTTTTTAAGGTTTGTGCTTGTAGCATGTATCAGTACTTTATTTCTTTTGATGGCTAAATAATTTCCATTGTATGGGTTTATACCAGATTGTATTTTATTTATTCATCAGTTGATTAATGTTGAGGTTGTTTCCACCTTTTGACTATTGTGAATAGTGTTGCTTTGAACATTTGTGTACAGGTTTTTGTTTGAACACCTGTTTTCATTTATTTTGGATATATTCCTAGGAACACCAGGTCATATGGTAATTTTATGTTTATAATTTTGAGGAACTGTCCAATTATTTTCCACAGTGGCTGCATCATTTTATGTCTCAGCAGCAATGTATGAAGGTTTCAATTTCTTTACATCCTCACCAACTTTTTTTTATTGACATATCGTAGTAAGTTTATTACTGAAAGTGGATAGTGAGGTCTCCTTTCAGTTGCGTGTTTGCTTCATATGATTTCAGGCTCTGCTGTTAAGTGTGCATAAGTTTATAATTTTTATATTGATAGATTTGTTCTACTTTATCAAAATCACATTTCCTCTTTGTTTCCTTTAACAATTTCAGTTTAAATTCTATTTTGTCTATATTGGCATAGCTACCCCAGTTCTCTTTCAGTTACTATTTCATTAAATTTTTTTTTTTTTTTTTTTTTTTTTTTTTACCTTTTCACTTTCATTCTGTGTCTTTGGATCTAAAAATGTCTCTTTTAGACAGCATATAATTGGATCATGTTTCTTTTGATCTATTCGGCCAATCTCTTCCTTTTATGTGAATAGTTTAATCCGTGTATGTTTGAGGTAATTACTAATTACTAATAAGGTACAATTCTGATGCTAACTATACAGTTAGGTCAGATTTCGTAAGTTAAAAACACATTCCCCCACAAGACTACACTCATTTCAGGGACAAGCTGCAAGCTTGGAGTTTCCTCAACCCCCCTCACTTCTGATCAACTGGCTACAAATTCTAGGGTTCCCTCTACCACCTCAGGCTCAATAGTTTTGTAGAAAAATTCACAGAACTCAGGAAAGCTCTATCTTTACAATTCCAGTTTTCTTAGAAAGGACAGTCAAAAAAAAAAAAGGTACATAGGAAGAGTTCTGGGAGGGTCCCAGGTGCAAAGCTTTCTTGTCCTCAGCACGTATCTCTCTCTCAGCCTATCATTTTCTGTCAGAAACCAGGAATCTCACTTTAGCTGTAAGTATCCAGAGTTTTTATTGTGGCTTCATCCCTCTCTGAAGGTCAGGTGGTCAGGCGAATCTGTGGCTCAAAGCACCAGTGCTCTAATCATACGGTTGGTCTTCCCAATGCAGCCAGCCCCCCATCCTGAACCTGGTCACTTTGTGATAATAAACTTACATGTAGTTTGAGGGGTTCATCATGAATACCACCAGGAAAATTACAAGGGTTTAGAGGCCTTCCCAGGAACTAGGGACAAAAACCAGCCAAATTCTTTATTATACAGCAAGCAGGCTTACTTCTGTCATTTTGTGATTTTTTTCTTACAGGTCCTGATATTTTTTTCTGAATTTCTCTCATACTGCTTTTTTTTTAATGTTTGAATTTTCCTAGTTTACCTTTTAAATTCCCTTTTTTCCTGTATATTTTCAAGTTTATTTCTTAGTGGTTACCATGGAGATTACAGTTATCATCATAAATTTATAACAATCTTGTTTGAATTGATAGCAATTTATCTTCAGTAGCCTATAAAAATTCTGATCCTATACAGCTGTCTCCCTTTCTTTATATTGTTGTCACAGATTATGTCTTTATATAGTGGGTCCATTAGCATAGATTATAATTATTGTATTAATGCATTTGTCTTTGAAGTCATAAAGGAAAGAGAATGAGCTAACAAACCGAAAATATAGTAATACTGGATTTTATATTTACCTATGAAGTTAGTTTTACTGGTGGTGTTTTTTCTGATTTTAAGTTACTGTCCAGTGTCCTTTCATTTTAATCTGAATGACTTAACATTTTTTCTGGGTAGGTTTACTCATGAAAAACTCCCTTAACTTTTGTTTATCTGAGAATCCCTTATTTTCTTAATTTTTGATGGAAAGTCTTGCCAAATGTAGAATTCTTAGTTGGTAAGTTCTTTTTTCTTTTAGCACTTTAGTAATGGCATATCAATTCCTTCCAACCTTTATGCTTTCTAATGAAATATAGGCTTTTAATCTTATTGAGAATTTCTTGTGATGAGTTGCTTCTCTCTTACTACTTTCAGGATTCCCCTTTGTCTTTGTGTTTATACAGTTTGATTGTAATATTTTTCAAAATGAGTATCTCTTTTGAGTTTATCCTACTTGGATTTTTTGAGCTTCTTCATGTGTAGATTCATGTCTTTCATCAGATTTGGGAAATTTTCAGCCATAATTTCTTCACATATTCTTTCTGTGACCTTCTCTTCTCTACTTCTGAGACTTCCATAATGTGTATGTTTGTATTTTTGTTGTTGTAAATCCTCATCTGAGGATATTTTTTCCATTGATTTTTAGAGAGAGTGGAAGGAAGGGGGGAGGGGGAGGGGGAGGGGAGAGAGAGAAACACTGGTGTGAGAGAGACACGTCAGTTGGTAGCCTCCTGCATGTGTGGCCCCCCCGGGCCAGGGATCAAACCTGCAACCCAGGTACATACCCTTGACTGGGAATCGAACCCGTGACCCTTTGGTTCCCAGGCTGATGTTCTAACCATTCGGCAACACCAGCCAGAGTGTATATGCATTTTTTTATTTTTTTTTTTTAAATCTTTATTGATTTCAGAGAGAGAGAGAGTTGAAACATCAATGATGAGAGAGTTGTCATTGATCAGCTGCCTCCTGCATGCCCTGTGCTGGAGATCGAGCCCACAACCTGGTCATGTGCCCTGACCGGAAATTGAACCACGATCTCCTGAATCCTCCTGAGTTGATGCTCAACTGCTGAGCCACTCACAGCCAGGCATGTTCATATTCTTGATGTTATCCCAGAGGTTGCTTAGTCTCTGTTCCCCTTTTTTATTTTTTTTATTTTGGCAACAACAAATGTTTATTGACGTACATTTTGGGAGCCCAGAGACCTGATGTAAACAAAAACAAGCATCAGCTATCATGTGTATCAGAAATTACAAACGTGAGACAAACATCAGGAATAAGAGTCTTCCCACCAAGTTTTCATGAGCCTAGTCCATAAACATGAATCATGTCTCTCTGGTTTGAATCATCAAGATCTCTCCCAAAAACTTGACTTTAGCAGAGCTCTAAAGGAAGCTCTCATAAAGACCCTTAAGGTAATTACATCAGGCATCAAATGGGTTAGGTCAGTTGTCAACCATTTTAATTCCATTAAGTAAGTTTTACCTCCTATTTTTTTGTGGGTTTTTAAAATTGTTTTAATTAGCACATACATCTAGTATTGTTATGTCTTATTGACCAGTGTACGCTATCGTCATAAATATTTCCTTTTTATTTTCTAAAATACTCTTCAACTTGCAGTTTACTTTGTTTTTAGTAGAGCCATACCATCCTTCTCATGTGTAAAGTAACTGAATATTTTCCACTTTTATTTTCAACCTGTTTGCTTTTTTTATTTAAAGTGAAATGTTTTATATATATCAAATAGGTGACTCTTCTTTTTATCTACCCTGAAAATATAATTGAAGTTATTAGTATACTATCTATCTATCTATGTATTTTAAACATCTTTAGTTACATAGTTGTCCCTCTTTTCCATGGGAGATTGGTGATTGGTTCTAAGACACACTGCAGATACCAGAAACCTGCAGATGTTCAAGTCCCTTAAATAAAATGGTGTAGTATTTGCATAAAACCTCCAGATGCAGAGCCAACTGTATACATAAACTGCACATATTTGATGTGTACAGTTTGAAAGCTTTTAACGTAACAACCCCCAGAAGGTTCAGTGTACTCTTTATAAACCTTCCTTTTACTCTTATTTTGATTTAGTTCTACAGTCTTGATGTTTGAATAGCACGTGCTCTTTTTTCTGTGTTTATTCTTTCTTGACCTTTGTAGTTGTTATTGAAACAAATACAACTGTGATTCTATTTCATCTCTCATATAGTCTTTTAGTTATGCTTTTGTGTGTGTGTATGTGTTTATTGCTTGATTTAGAGATTTAGATATGCATATTGAACTTAATATCATCTGTGATTACAACATACTCTCTTACCTCCAAATCAATTTAAGAATTTTATGAAGAAATATTTGCAAATCCATGCCACCCTTTTGTGTTCTTGTTGTAATACATTTTTCTTACACATATGCCTTAATAGTCTACATCCTTGAGCATTGGTTTTACTTTAAAGAGCTAAGAATAAGGACATAGTTTACTTTTTTCAGAGTATTTTTTCTTAGAAAACAAAACAAAACATTGCCTTTATATTTAGTGACCCCTTTATTCTTTTCTTCTGTTGTACTTGAGATTTTCTGTTATAATTTCCCTTTAGCCCATAAAATTTCTTTTAGTATTTATTGTATGAAGATGTGCTAGCATCTGATTCTTTCACTTTTTTTCCTGTATTATTATCAGTGGATATAGAAATGTGTTTTTATTTCAAAATGTGATTTTTTGATTTTTCTTTGAAAATGTGATTTAATTCTGGCTTCCATATTTCTATTAT